TATGTTCCTATTTCTACTACTTACTCCCTGTGCCTTGGGTATTTGACACATCTTGGGCCTCAGTTTCCTTGTCTGTAAAAGAGGGGATTGGACCAGATGACCTCTAAGGTCCCTTCCAGTTCTAAAGCCAGGGATTTTCTGCACTATTGAGGAAAGGCTGCTGGCTTTGGAGTCAGGAGATTCAAATCCCAGCCCCAACACTTACTTACTTGACCTTGGTCAGGTCATATCTCTACTCTGTGCCTTAGTTTCCCCATCAGTAAAATGAGATCAATAATCCTTGCACAGCTTTTACCAGGGTGGTTGTAGGGAAGGTCACTTGTAAATCTTAAAGTGTTACATACACTTAAGCAATTTTGTTGTGGTTGTGATTAGGTTCCTTGCTTTTCTACTTCCTGAGTTACTTTGGGGTGAGCGGCAGTTTATCCATTTAGAAATTGAGTTGGACCTAAGGACCACCAAATCCCTTCAAGCTATAAATCCTGTATCATCCTCCCGTCGGTTTATAACCTTGTACTCTGCCCTGTCCTCCAGGAGGGTTCCAGATGTTGCCATAGCATTTAAAAATGATTAGACAGAGTCTGGCACATAGTAGGTATTCAATAACTCCCAATTGAATCACAGCTTTATAGCTGAAATGGACTTTAGAAGTCATAAATTTAGAAGACATAAATTCTGATTCCACCTCTGATATCAATTATATGATCATGGGTCTGCCATTTCATCTCTGATGATTACTCAGTTTCTTACTTTGTAAAATGGAAAGAATACCTTGTGTACCTACTTTATAGGGTTGGCCTGAGGACAATCAAATGAGGTAAAATATGTAAAGTACTTTGTAAACTTTAAGATTTAAGGGGCAGACTGTTAGACTGGGAGTCAGGAAGACCCATGTTCAAATCCTGCCTCTGATAATTTTCATATATGTGACCCTGGCAAGGCAGCTAGCCGCCTCAGTGGATGGAGTGCTAGGCCTGGAGTCAGGAAGACCTGAGTTCAGATTCAATCTCAAATTCTTACTAGCTGTGTGGCCTGGGCAAGTCACTTAACCCTGTTTGCCTTTATCCAGTGGAGAAGAAATGGCCAACCACTCCAGTATATTTGCCAAGAAAACTTCATGGACAGTGGTATACAGGGTAATGAAGAGTTGGATATGACTTATCAACAACAACAAATGTGACCCTGAGCAAGTCACTTAATCTCTTTCAACCTCAGCTTCCTCACCTGTAAAATGGGGAGAATAATAGCATCTACCTCACAGGGTTGTGAATGCCAAGTGAGATAACACATGTGAGCACTTTGTAAACCTTAAAACTGCTGCTGTAAATGTCCCTTATTACATTTGAGGAAAATGAGGCCCAACAAAGTAAAATGACTCACTGACACAAATCATAAATGTCTGACTCGGTTCTTCTGATCCTAAACCCAGCACTCCTTCCTTATATTACAGAGCCCTTCTGTGGGAGGCTAAAAGACAGTAATGGGACAATTTTACATTGGCTGGTTGTCAGCTCTCCGAGAGTCTGCCTGTAGAAAGAAGCTCCCTTGCCGCAGAGCAGAATGTGGCTCCCACAGAACTCAGTATGTGCTGGAGAGGAGACACAACTACTGAGTGGCAGGGCTGGGGTTTAAACCCATATTATCACTCCAAGCACTGTTCTCTCTGCATCACGAATTCAATTCAGTCTGATCCAAGAAGCATTAAGTGTCTATTATGCACCAGGCACTTTCAGAAGATGTTCCAGCTCCAGGGAACTCACAATCTACAGGTAGACAACAAGCAAACAGCTATTGGAATTAATCAGAAGAGAAAAGGCCCTTGACATGCTCGGTGCAGGGCACATGGTAGGTGTTTAATAAACTTTTGTGGATTGATTGATTATGGGGTATTAGCAAAGGTTTCTTACAGAAGGTGTGATTTTAGCAAGGACTTGAAAGAAGCCAGGGGAGCCAGGAGGCGGAAGGAAGGATGGGAAAGAGAGAATTTTAGGTACAAGCTTACAGCATACTGTTTGAAAACAACATAGACACAGATAAGTCCAAACAGGATATCTTTGGTCCAGACTTGTGGTTTCATTATGCAGATCAGGAACTAAGTGTCTGTAACTGATAAGTCTTAGAGAGTTGCCTGGGGGCTGGGAGAGGTTAGGGGAGTGAGAGGTTAAGTGAAGCCCAGAATCCCACAGAAAGTAACTCTGAGACTAGGGACCAGAAACCATCTTTTCTCTCCAAGGCTGCCTCTCTGAAAAAGATACAAAGTAAATATAAACTGGTTTATGTTATTTCTGAGGAGATACGGTTGAAAGCCAAAGAATGCTTCCCACCCACTCTCAAGTTACATTGTGTTTCTTTCGATTCTCCCTTGTATTTGTTTATCTGTGAATGGGTTGTTACCCTCTAGTAGGATGTTAGCTACTCTCCTGAAAGACCACCTTATTTTTGTATCTCTTATTGTCTTGGATGCTCCCTATGCAAGCGAAATCCCATTACTGTCCTTAGGCCTTTTGTATCTCCAGCTTTTATTACAGTGAATGCTTCCTGAGAACACTAGATCTACTGATTCCAGGAGAATGTAAGCTCCTAAAAACAGGGACTCCTTTTCTTTTTTGTCCTCGTGTTTTGGGTGCCTAGTACAGTGCCTGGCATACAGTAGACGCTTATTCAGTGCTTGATGAATTAAACTGATCCATAAAGTAATTTCAGCGAGTAAGAGAGACAAAAAACAGAGACAGTCATAGAAAGGGGTAGAGACAGAGATACAGAAAAAGAGATGGTAAAAAAAAAAAAAAAAACCAGAAACAGAGGAAGACAGAGACAAAAAGAAAGAGATGGAGGGATTAGAGAGGCAAGATGGGGGGGAGAGACAGAGAGAGAGAGAGAGAGAGAGAGAGAGAGAGAGAGAGAGAGAGAGAGAGAGAGAGAAAAGAGACAAAGATAGAGACAGAAAGAGGACACAGAGAGATAGATATAGAGAGGGGAGATAGAGAGATTGAGACAGAGAGATAAGAAAGAGGAAACAGAGAGATAAGAAAGAGGAGACACAGAGAGATAGAGCTAGAGAGACAAGAAAGAAGAGGCAGAGGAGAGACAGACACAAAGGGACACAGAGGGATAGTGACAGAGAGAGGAGACACAGAGAGATAGAGTCAGAGGGGGAGATGCAGAGAGATAGAGACCAAGAGATAAGAAAGAGGAGACCGAGAGACAAGAAAGAAGAGACAGAGACAGAGAGGGGAGATAGAGATAGAGTCAGAGAGACAAGAGAAGAGACAGAGAGAAGCTCCAGACACAAAGAGACACAGAGGACAGAGACAGAGAGAGGAGACACAGCCAGATAGAGACCGAGAGATAAGAAAGAAGAGACTGAGAGACAAGAAAGAAGAGACAGAGAGGAGACCCAGAGAGACACACAGAGACAGAGAGGGGAGACACAGAGATAGAGTCAGAGAGACAAAGAGAAGAGACAGAGAGGAGCCCCAGACACAAAGAGACACAGAGACTGAAAGAGGAGCCGCAGAGGCACGTGGAGGCTCAGGGACTGCGAGCCTAGTCGGAGAGATTAGGAGGCAGACCCCCCGGAGGAGGAGACCGAAGCCAGAGCGCCCAAGGGGACAATGAGGGATGGGGCTCGCTGCTGGCGCCTGGAGCTCTTTCCGGCCCTGGGGTGAGGAAGGGAGTGGAGGGAAGGGGAGGGGAGGGGTGGGGGAGGGGGAGAGCCCGGTCCCGCCCCCGCCGTGCCCCCCAGCCACGCGCGCCGCGGCGCTGCGGAGGCAGCGAGGGACAAACGGCCACGGCGGCAGCATCAGCGGCGGCGGCGGCGGCGGCGGGGAGGCCGGCCGGGCGCCCGGGGGCGGGGCCTGCGTCGGCGCGTCACGTGAGCGTGTTTTGGGCACGTGAGCGCGCGGAGGCCGCAGGCTCGCGCTCTCCCCCTCGCGCCGCCTCTGGCTGGCTCGAGGCTCGCAGGCTCCCGGGCGGGCGGGCGGGGAGGCATCACGACGGAGCCGAGACACAGAGAAGGAGCGAACGAGAGGACGAACGAGCGAGCGAGCGCCGCCGCTGCCGCCGCTGCTGCCGCGAGCCCGAGCCGGCCATGAGCCCCGGCCGCCGTCGCCGCCGCCGCCGCCCGAGCGCGGCGCCCCGGGGCCAGTGAAGGAGCCAGGGAGCCTCTAGCGCCGCCGCCGCCGCCGCCGCGGGCCTGCCCCCCCCCGCCCGCCCCGCCGCCCTCAGCCCCGCCCCCCGCCCCGGAGCCCCCGCCGCCGCCGCCCCCGCCGCCGCCCGCGCGCGGCGCCCCGGGGCCAGTGGAGGAGCCAGGGCGCCTCTAGCGCCGCCGCCGCCGCCGCCGCGGGCCTGCCCCTCCCCGCCCGCCCGCCTGCCTGCTTCCCCGCCCCCCCCGCCGCCGC